TATATATATATATATATATATATAGAGAGAGAGAGAGAGAGAGAGAGATTTGTACTTTTAAACCACACAAAACCATAATACTAGAATCAAGAGAGACGAAGAATAAAACGAATCACAAAACAATGTCATCGTTTTGAGTTCTCAACTACCGAATCGAGATGAAACCCGCTACATTGCGCGGATACACTGGTAGTGTGTGTATACATATTACAATTTTGGCAAAATGCGTAAAAACACTAAAATGCCCCCTCACCTAAGGGGTACATGGGGGCTTTAACGCCGAATTAGATAACAAAGTTAGAACTAGAGACCACTTTCAAACTAAAATGGGATTTGAGAGGCTAGCGAATTGGAATTGTATGGAATGTCCCTTCGAAGTCCTGCACGCTCTTTTTGATTGGGAGCGGGGTAGGGCCGTGATGCGAGAGGGGCAATATTCAAATGAAAGCAAGGGGCTGATTGCCCTCATGGGGAAGGGATGAATACGAGCAGTCGGAAGAGCAGCTCCGGGTGGGTTTGTTTATCCTTCCAGTTTCGAGTGTATTCTTGGATAGTTATAGCGGCCCACCCACTAATGGCATATTACCAGCAAATTAAACTACTCCGGATGAGGGGTGAAATATGGTGTATTTAGGATATCCGTCCATGGAAGTTGTACTGGTGAACTGYAGAGAGTGAAGCTGCCCAAAATACTCGTCGTAAACGTGAACGGTCTCGCGCCCCTCTCTCTAAAGGGGCGTAAGCACTTTACTCGCTAGGAGGATGGGATTCATTCACTTGCATTCCTACTAACACCACAAAAAGCTCCTAATTCCTATCTCGGTAGCTTCATCTTCTTCGGGAGTTGAGAATGCTTCTGCTGCCAAACCGGGAGGGGCAAAGAGGCTTACATGCCTTATTTAAAAAAGGGAAGGGCCAGCATCGATAGACGCTCGAAAACCATCGRCGGAGGGGGTCCCCCTTTTCACCAAGGAAGGGACGAGCCTGCATAATCGGAACCATATTTATATATGCTTTTTAGAAACCCTTTCAAAATTCTTAACACAAACCATAGGGACCATTTTTGTAGTTTACTCATTCTTAAACCAACACCAGTCACCAAATTATCATATTTTCCTATAGAAGAAAAACACAATGGGCTGAAAATGGGCTGGGTTTGTTGGATGGGCCACTTGTGGGCCTCAGCCGATGTCTATTCCTAATTCCTGTTCTATATGATCTCCAATAAAACCCTAGCAATATTAAGCAGTGACGCTCGACCCCATTTCGCTTCCACCACCGTTTCTGCAATCTGCTCATCCAACAATGGTAATCTCTCTCTCTTTCTCAAGCATACGAACTGAATAATATGTTCAACGATTCTTATATTGTTGTCCGATTTTACATTTGTTTTGGACTTTGATTATGATTTTGTGTTCAAATGTAGGCTTCAGAGAGGAAGCAGGCGAATCCAATGAGGGAAATCAAGGTTCAGAAACTTGTGCTGAACATTTCGGTGGGAGAAAGCGGAGATCGTCTCACTCGTGCTGCTAAGGTCTTTAATCTCTATAAAAGTTTTCAAACCGGATTTGATGTTTACAGTGTATGCAAGTTGCGATTTTGATGTTTTTTGTTTGATAACTACGACTTAGGTTTTGGAGCAGCTGAGCGGCCAATCCCCTGTTTTCTCGAAGGGTGAGAGTTATTTTGATCCACATTACATTATTCATCTTCCAGTGTTTTCATTATCTGTTGGATTCATTTTAGCTGAATATGTTGAGAAATTAAGCTCTGCTGTAAATTTTTGAATTATTTCTTGGTTTGAATGTCAAGGTATTGAATTATACAATGAACATATTCTTGGTTTGTAGAACATAAACGTTGGTGTTTTACCCGGAATATCATCTAAGATACAAAAAAGCATCGTCTGCGTCTTAATTTCTGGGATTTTTGTACCAGGATACCTATATTACGAATGCTAATGTAAAGGTTATGATTTTGGTTGAACAACCAAAATGCAGTATACTGGGTGTTTTTAGTTCTGATTGGCAAATTCATTAGAGTATGGTTTGATAGAAGAATCAACTTCTTGTGAACTCCTTGCCTGATGACCACTTAGTTCAATAACATCTAAAATATCCTTTAATACAGCTGTTTGTTCTTGTTAGTTTTTCATTGATTACCAAGTCATTGAGGTTACTTTGAAATGTTTCATATATATTTCAGTGATATTTCAAAAAAGGAAATTGTTCTCAGTTAATTTAGAACACTAATATGTACGATGAGAAGATTATAATGTTTGTTCCATTTGGTTTGAAAATGGTAGCATTATGTGCTTAACATTTACTTAAATAATGCTGTATGGTATTGGAGGGTATCTTGTATGAGAAAAACTTGCAATGATTTGAACTTTGATGTGACTTGGGACCGTTTATTCGTTGCCAATTAAGTTGCTTTGTGTAACTGTTTGTTTTAATTGAAACAGCAAGATACACTGTGAGGTCATTTGGGATCAGGCGTAATGAAAAGATCGCTTGTTATGTCACTGTTAGAGGTGACAAGGCTATGCAGCTCTTGGAGAGTGGTTTGAAGGTGAAGGAGTATGAGTTGTTGAGGCGCAATTTTAGTGACACAGGATGCTTTGGCTTTGGTATTCAGGAGCACATCGATCTTGGTATCAAGTAAGTCGTAATACCATAATCATGTTAATACTTCATCATATCTCTTGCATACAATTTTGATGACATAGGAAACAACATGGCTTTTGGTTTGATATGTTGTTGAAATGCACTAATGTTGTGGATTGCTAAAGTTATTTGAACCCGGATCTTGTAGTTAATAGCTAGTTTTTCACTAACAGTTAGCTTACCTGCTAGTTTGCCAAACATGGCTAGAATTGTGAGTTTGAAATAGATACAAAGCGATTCACTTGAATCAGATCTAGATATTGGAATACACAATGAAAAGTACAAATGGGTTAAAACGAACGGATCCTAAAAAACTTTTAGTGATCGACTATAACATGAAGGGTGTTTTAGACGTCTTACAAAAGATCCAACAATTCTTCTATAGCTATGTGCAGGGTGTGATGCCTTAAATAAAATATATTTTCTTCTTGGTAACCATTTATCCGATGGCAGGTATGATCCATCCACGGGTATCTACGGTATGGATTTCTTTGTGGTTCTGGAACGTCCTGGTTACCGTGTTGGACGTCGCCGTAGGTGCAAGGCTCGTGTTGGGATTCAACACAGAGTGACCAAGGATGATGCAATGAAATGGTTTCAGGTGAAATACGAGGGTGTGATCCTCAACAAATCTCAACAAATTGGAGCCTAGGTGTGTGTTCTTTTTGTAAAATTTTGGAGTTGAGTTTTTAAAATTTTACCAACAAGGATCATGATGATATTGTTTTGTTGTGTTTTGGACCATTTTGAATACTAGTAGTACCAGTGTTTTTAAGTTCTTATGGTGTTTGTGTTTTAACAACAAAGAGTTATTGTTGAACTCATAAAAGTAGTATGCTTTATATATCAAGTATGATTATTAGCATACAATCTGTTCTGATCCAAAAGAATGTAAGGTATTTGTGTTTCATAAACATTTTGATGGATGAGTTGGAGCGTAAGTTAGCAAACCGAATTGGTTTTCGTCAACCAATTGCGCCGGTTATGTAACTGGTGAACCTGAAAAAGACCAATTGGTCTATTACAAACGCTCAACGATCTTCTAATTGTGGTTTTAGTAAAAGGGTATTTTGGGAAAGTTTTGACGTATGTTTGATATGAGGTCGGTCTAGTTTGATGCATGTATGTTGAATTTCTGTTTTATAAAACCAAACAAGTTCAGTATATCTTACCAGAATGTGGGGTTTAAGAGCATGAGATATAGGCACAACTCATATAACTATCGAACCCATAGACTATCCATTCAAATAAAAAAGTTGAGTTTTAACGAATGAATTCGAACTTTTGGTGAACAATTGAGTATCAGATTCTTGGTATTTGATTAAATTGTTTTGTTTCAGCTGACGGTATCTGATGAAGTTCGAATGTTAATTGTGTACTGACATTGAAAAAATTCCATTCATTAATTAACATTAAAAGAGTACTCGTGCAATACAACGAGACATATCTCAATTTTTAAGTTCTATTTTATTATGTCTCTGTCGATGTTATAATACGATTTTATGTATTTTTAAGAAATGAATAATGATTTTATTTT